TTAATGGATTTGTTTACAAATGACAAAGGCAGCCACCATCAGAAACTGTGTCAGTGAGAAAGTGTGTCACGACGAGCACTTGACTGAACAGATAGAGATGCATGTGCGTTCACACCCCTCCTCTCTGAGCCAAACTCCTTTACATTTACATTACATCTTCCTCTCTCTTGCTCTCTCAGCCAGAGAGCAATTATCACACTCATCTTCTCCTTCTCCTTCACATTTACATCACATTATATTTCCCCCTCTCTCTCTCTCTGAACAGCAGCTTCACAATTTATGCCTTTTTCTCCCCTCACTCTTTGATTTCAGTCATCGATCCTGTTTAAGAGCAAGCGAGGCAAAGCACCCGTCCACCCAGTAAGGGTCTAACAAGATGTGACAGGTTCTAAGAGCCAATCCAGCCCGGCAACGCCAAATGGATCATTACTTCAACAGCAGTCCTGCCTGATTTCTTTTCTGTTATTCATCTTAATTTTCTTAGCGTGTGTGCTGAAACATGCAGGCAGAGAGGTTTTCAGGACATACAGCAGCATAATCCTGCACATACACTAATATTGTCTCCCACACACACTCCTGTATCCTCACAGCGTCACACTCTCCTACATACAGTCTCATAAAACATAAAACTAAACTCTCTCATGATAGTACGTGTTAGACAAGAGGTTAGACGTGTTAGACATCATGGCTCATTAAAGGGGCAGCTCAGTCAGTAGGGACTTGGGACTTGGGTTGGGAAATGGAGGGTAACTGGCTCAAGTCCCCGTCTCATCCAAATATGGAGCGTGGACTGGTAGCTGGAGAGGTGCCAGTTCACCTCCTGGGCACTGCCAAGGTGCCCTTGAGGAAGGCACCGAACCCCCAGCCACCCGGGGTGCCCGCCCATGGGCAGCTCCCCCACCCTGCCATCCCCCCACTCAATGCATGTATAGGTTCTGTTTTTGGGTGTGTGTATATTGGACCATCTTCTTCTTCTTCTTCTTCTTCTTCTTCTTCTTCTTCTTCCGCTTCTTATGCTTATGCTTGTTCTTGTTCTTCTACTGCTTCTTCTTCTGCTTCTTCTTCTTCTTCTTCTGCTTCTGCTTCTGCTTCTTCTTCTTCTTCTGCTGCTGCTGCTTCTTCTGTTTCCGCTTCTTATGCTTATGCTTGTTCTTGTTCTTCTACTGCTTCTTCTTCTGCTTCTTCTGCTTCTTCTTCTTCTTCTGCCTCCGCTTCTTATGCTTATGCTTGTTGTTGTTGTTGTTATTCTTCTTCTTCTTCTTCTACATCTACGTCTTCCGCTTCTTCTTCTTCTTCTTCTATTTCTTCTTCTGCTGCTTCCGCTTCTTATGCCTATGCTTCTTCTTCTTCTTCTTCTTCTACTTCTTCGTCTTCCGCTTCTTCTTCTTCTTCTACTTCTTCGTCTTCCGCTTCTTCTTCTTCTTCTTCTTCTTCTTCCGCTTCTTCTTCTACTTCTTTTTCTGCTTCTACTTCTTCTTCTGCTGCTTCCGCTTCTTATGCCTATGCTTGTTCTCGTTCTTCTTCTTATGCTTCCGCTTCTTATGCTTATGCGTGTTCTTCTTGTTCTTCTTCTTCTATTTCTTCTTCTTCTTCCGCTTCTTCTTCTTTTTCTGCTGCTGCTTCCGCTTCTTATGCTTGTTCTTGTTCTTCTTCTTCTACTACTTCTTCTTCCACTTCTTCTTCTTCCTCCGCTTCTTCTTCTTCTTCTTCTGCTTCCGCTTCTTATGCTTATGCGTGTTCTTCTTGTTCTTCTTCTTCTACTTCTTCTTCTTCTTCTTCTTCTTCTCCTTCAAATGCTCCTGGTAGCATAAATGTTGAAAATGTAGCTTTTCAAGGAATAGTTTTATATTTTAGGAAAAATGTAAACTGGTATTTTCTTTCTTGCTGAGAGTTAGATGAGAACTTTAATACCACTCTTGAGGTCTGAAAAGTAAATACATAAAAACATTGTGTGTGCTTAAAAATTCCACTAGCACTGTGACAGTTTCATAGACTTAATCAAGAATTGGACGTGGCCACTGTGATGTAGACCAACGGTTTGTGGACTCCCCTTTTGAAGCCTTGATTTTGGCATTTTGGACGTTGTCATTTTGGATTTTTGGTGCCAGAAGTGACCATATTTGGTTCAGAGTGTAGCGCTGAGGAGGAGGAGCGAGGGTGGTTGAGTGACCCCTCACAGACAGCCTGCCAATCAAAGTGCCCACGCCCATAATTATGCATGTATTTAAGCCTTATTATAATTTAGATGGGTGAGTTATATGAAGATTCACCCCCTGTACAGTTGTCATGATTTGGATGGGGAAACTAGCTTTACAGACCGAAGGCGTTTTTATGCCTCGATCTTAGAAATACTCGCAGCTGGATGCATTGTGTTTTCAGGTTGTCCATCCATACCATTCTCGTGAATGTTTTCATGGAAGCCAGCCTCAAGTGGTCATTCAAGGAACTGCAGTTTTCAGCAACTGACTTTATTTTTAAGCCCTGGAGGTTGCTGCTTGGTCAGTGTGGTTTCCACTACATTTCATATCTGTACACAAAATGCCGCATACAGCTTATACTGACGGCTCTGCAGCACATAAACAAAATACCACATGGACCAAGAGCATCATGAACAATACAGACTAATATTTAACATGTCCTGTCGTGGTAGAATCCAAATGTAAAAGGTACTCTCCCTGCTGACACTTCAGATTAGACAAAATGTAAGTTTTCTGCAGCGTCTCATCCACCTGCTGCTGTCTGATTATCAGCTTACAGAGATTTAGTGTCATACCTGTCACTACGTGACAAGTGGCACACAGCTCCACCCAACCTCAGCCTGACTAGGTCTGATCAGCCAGAGTAATTAAACACCTGTGTGGACGTGCAGGGACTTTTACCGTGCTGCTCGTCTCATCTAATTTTCAAGTTGCAGCTAAAGGTTTTCAACATTAATTATGCTGCTGCTTTACACAGTAGTGTTTGTACGGTCTGAGCCGACAAAGAATCATCACAGATCTCATTTTAATCTTTGAAAATCTTCCCTCAAACACACTGTCGTTTCTCTCTTAGACATATTTTCAGTCTCATTTACAAACTAAATCGTTCTCTCTTGTGTACAGTATCACTCTCAGTCTGACAGCTCTACTGTAGAGTGTGTTATAGTTAGTGTGTGTAAGAGTGTGATAGTATGCATGAGTGAGGATGACTGAGTTTATACGACAGTGCAGTTGTGTGTGTTTGTGTGTGAGCGAGGGTGATTTATGGCCCCAAACAGCACTGTGTGTGTGTGTGTGTGTGTGTGTGTGTTAGAGAGAGAGTATGACTGTGCATATAAAAGTGTATACAGTAGCAGTGTGTGTGTGTCTGTTTGTCTGTTTGTGGATGAATGTGGTGTATTTGTAGGACTATAATGCCGTGTGTGAGAGCAAGTAAGATTTATGGCCTAAATAGCCTTTGGTACTGTTGTGCTCTCTCTCTCTCTCTCTCTCTCTCTCTCTCACTCACTCACTCACTCACTCACACACACACACACACACACACACATAGGTCACTAATGGATCTGCATATTTTATTCCTGTGCATTAAACTATGACTGAATGTAATGTGAAGCCACTGAGGCAAGCTGCTTATATATCAGAGCTGCAGTAAACAGAGTGTGTGAATGAATCTACATTTTATGAGTAAGTGTTCACTTTCTTAAGTTTGCTTTATAAAATGTGCAGCTTTACACCTGCCAGTGTCCAATCACTTATCAACAGGGGTGGAGGAATTTTTCAGATTCTTTACTTCAGTCAACGTACTGATATCACACTGTTAAAATACTAGAGTTCCCCCCAATTAAGAATTTTGCTAGTCGACCAATAGTCGTCATTTAAGTCCATTAGTCGACTAGTCGCCCGCATGTTTCTGATATGAATGTAATGATTAAATGATATATTTTGGTGGTTTGAGTTGAAGGTGTGAGAAAGAATAGTATCAGTAACATTGTTAACACTGTGCTACATTACAGAGAAATACAAAATCGTACTAATGACCCTTCATTAATATAGGCCTATATTTTATCTACAAGTGCACGTCACACACTGAGCGAGCCGCCTGTTAATGACGCTGTGGGCTAATGGGCATGTAGCTACTTCCATGTTTCACATGAGACGTCATGTTTGTAGTCGACCAATGAAGATGAGTTTACATATCACCCTGAGTTCGTCCTTCACCTTCTCAAAATGATCCCACACTTTGGATTTCCTGTGGAATAACCGCAGGTACCAGCCCTGGAAATCAACCTGACTCCTGTCTGACTGCTGAGCGTGGACACTTCCTGTGTCTGTCCTTTCAAATTAAAGTCACACATGTTCCAGTCATGTAGGTTTTGATTAATTTGGATTTTTGTCTCTGTTTTTTCTGTGTCGACCAACATTTGGTGAACTATTAGGGTGCAGCCCTAGAAAATACTCCTCAGTGCTGTAACCTATGTTACTGCTTTTTGTTTCTTTTAAAGATTATTATTAGGTTTTTACGCATTCATTATACCCCACTTAAAGTGTGACAGGAAAGAAGGGGCAGGGGGGACGACATGTAGAAAAGGGCTGCAGGCTGGAATCACAACTGGACTGTTGCTATATGGGGCGCACATTCTACCTGCCGCTTCTTGATAACTGCTTTGTGTGAATTTCCATTTGGAAAACATGGAGAAGAATGCAGATGGACCTGCCCTTTAAGAAGATGAATAATTTTCACGCATAAAGGAATACTTCATCCTTCAGTTAATCACAAACATTCAAAGCCAACACATCTGCAGATGCATAGTTTTTTTACCTGGCAGGAAGGGGATGAGGTAATGTCATTTGAAAAGTAGCCAAAGCTGTCAGATAAATGTAGTGGAGTAAAAAGTACTATATTAAAGGTTATAAAGTTGCCTAAAATGGAAAATACAGGCACGTAAGCACAGTACTTAAGTAAATGTACTTAGTTACATTCCACCTCTGCTAATCTCCCTCTGTCTTTTATTTTCTCTGCAGTGAGAAGAGGAAGCTGCAGGTGAACATCGCGAGTCCCATCCAGTGCAGCATGAGCGGGAGAAAGTGCACCATCATCGTGGAGCCCAAGATCAACCAGTCGCAGCCAGACTTTACCAAGAGCCGATCTGGTTACATCCTGGCTGTTCCTGGCAACTAAAAAACGGTGGAAGGAAAAAAAGCGACAGCTGATTTCAAAACCAGGCCATGATGATGATGATGATGATGATGATGATGATGATTCACTTTTGTTTTGCAGAGCTGCTGGTAATGTGATGATACAGATAGCCGCTCTGGAGGAGGATTGTGGCAACTCAGTTCTCCATATGCAAAGCCATGCCAAATTTGACCTGTTTTTAGATTTCTATGCAACTTTACCATAAACAGGGAGCGTACACTACGCCTACATGCACGATGTCACCAGCTAAACAGGTTTTTATAAAATGCACTACAGGATAATCCACCAAAGTGGTGTTTTTTTTTCTTTCTAAAGATCCAAATTTCAACTGATTTGCTTTGTGCAATATTTACTTTATTGTAGATGGAATATTGTGGTCGTGGAGGTGAGAGGAGATTATGCTGCAACTGTTCTCTGAAAAACTGATGTTGCGTAACAGGGAAAAAAATCCAAAGGCTTTGCAGGAATTTATAATCCGTGCAGCTCCCTGTGTAGGAGCTGGAAAAGTAAAACCCTAAAAAGATTAAATAAGATGATATTTATGTTTGAACACTTTTTGTAATGTATATTCTAAGGAATAGTAACGTCAGTGACCTTGATTGAAGTCTTACTACCGACATGGTAAATGAAAGGAAATGCAGTGTCCACTTTGAGTTCACTTAATATTTACAATCACATATGAGAACAGCGACATGTGATTCAGTGGTTCAGTCAGTGTCTGAGGCACGAGCTCCAAAGTCCTTGTTAGTGTGTTAGTCACAGGATGTGTTGAGCATATCCTGAACATCGCACCCTGCTACATGCAAAGTGTTAAAGAGCTATTAATTTAAGTCCTGCTTCTTATACTCTCTACTGCAACGTGTGTACTTTTATAATACTCTCATACTGCTTATATATCAAAGGTTAGAATCAGCACAGTCGCTAGAAGAAAATTTTGGCATTGCACATTCCTGCAAACCATGAGTACTTTACGTTTGCATGTTTCATGCATGTCAAGTGATGTAATAAATGAGCTGACCGTCACTGGAATGTAGAGGGGATGGTGCATGGTGAGTCACTTATAGACAAGATGTCTGCCAAGCTGCAGAGCACCGTTTAAGACTGACAAACAACAACACTGGTTGTTTTTTGTCAGTCTTTCACAGCATATTCACCAGTGTTTGTGACCCCGAACCTGGGTGTATTTCACCAACATTAAACATCGTTTTTCCAGCAGCATTTTGGGTGTTTTCACCAACGCATCATGGCATTTCCCACCGGGGTTTGTGGCACCAAACTTGTGTGTTTTTAGCAGCACATTGCACCGCTTTCCATTGGCGTTTGTCACACCGAACCTGGACGTTTTTCATCAACACATCACAGTGTTTCCCAGCTGCGTTTGAGTCACCAAATCTGGATATTTGTCATTGACACATTGCAGCATTTTCCAGTGGCGTGCGGCACCAAACCTGGGTGTTTTCACTGACCCCATCACAATCCAGCATTTGCTACTACAGCCACTTAACCCGAGTATTTTTCACTGATACATTGCGGTGTTTCCCACAAGTGTTTGTGGCACCTAACCTGTGTGTTTTCAGCATCCCGTCACAGCGTGTCCCCCGGTGTTTGAGCCACTGAACCTTGGTGATTTCACGAACCCATCACGGTGCTCCCCAGCGGCATATGAGCCACCAAACCTGGGTGTTTTTCACCAGCACTGCAGCATTCCCCAGCAACGTCTCAGCCACAGATCCCGGCTGTTTTTCATCAACCCATTCTTGCTTTTCCAGTGGCTTTTGCGCCACCATGCGTGGGTGTTTGAAGCCAAAACGTGATTTTTTCCAAACCATAACCAAGTGGTTTTTGTGCCTAACTTCACCACAGTGAGGTGTCAAGTTTGTATCTGCTACAAAATAATGTACAAATATACAAACGTATGTGTGGTTTGCAAAAACGTACAATATGAACATTTTCTCTGGCGACTTAGTTGTTAGAATATACTTCATGTGGCAGCACTTAAACTGCATTTAGTATAAAAAGAGATGCTTAAACTGAGTATCACAAAGCAAATACGAGGACGATAACCAAAGCATTACTTTTTTGTTTGTTTGTTTTTAAGACATATTTTGAGTTTGTATTCTCCTAAAATGTAAGACTCGAGTGTTGCTGGCCAGTACTGTATAATCCCACGTGAAGTCCAGCCCCTGAACATAGTCTCATATTTGCTGTCTTTGTGCTGAGTGAATAGCCTAATGACTTGTAGTGGTCCTTAGTCCTGTGGAATAGACTTCCATTTGACAAATATCCCCTTCATCAGAGAGAAAGAGAGTGTGTGAGTAGGGCTGTGGGAGTGTGTGTGTGTTGATTAGCTCTTTTTAGCTCTCCTCATCTTGGCTCTGAGGCTGAGAGCCTGGCGAGTGGCCACAGTGAATGAGTGAAGACAGAGGGGTGTGAAGTCTGGAATCAGACTGCTATCCTAGTTTACCTCCCCATCTAATGATGGGAATGACTTTTTCGTGGACTATTTTGGAGACTCGATTTTCATCTGCTCTCGCTAAAACTCCCTTCGCTGGTCCCGAGGCCAAATCACACCTATCAAATCATCAGCACTTCAGAGATTGCTTTGTACTGTTCTCACAAGCTGTCGGCTGTGCTGAAAGTTTTCACTCTGTTTTCCTCCTTTGGTAAGTGTTAGCACATTGCAATATGTTCTTTTTCCAGACATTGCAAGAAATGTGTTGCAACACAGAAGCTCATGAGATGGAGATGTCTGGCTTTACAGTGTGTGTTAATACCCATCCACAGATTGAGTGCATAAGGCACAAATATCTGTTGTTTTGTGGCATTAAGAGGCGTTTGCTGCTCTATAACCAACCTGAGGCTAAAAATGTCATTCTTGACCTTGGAAACAGCAGTTGAGAAAACAATCTGACCACAGCATCATCCCTAATGCTCCTAAGGGCCTAGGCTAGTCATGTGTTGAATTTTGAGCATTTGTCTTTTGATATAAACCAACATTTTGAGATATCGGTATGGGTTATCTTCACTGTTCCAATAGCAAAAAACAAAGACAGATAGAAGTTTTAAATGCAGTTTGAATGTGATGGTGTTTGCCATCTACAACTGTGCAAACTAATGAAGATCATGTGAGATGGTTGAAAGCTAAACAGCAATTAATTACTGCATCTGTGCATCGAGCATCCTCGTTGTTGAATTTGGAAGGAGTGGATATTTAGATGTTTTTGTTTGTTTCATGCCGAAATGTTAGTTTGTTATACATCAGGCAGGAATGTAGCTAACCCTGCGTGAATTTCCCGAAATGAATACCTCACCCCCTAAATGACCGTCTGTATATCAGTTACTCGGTGCATGTTTCATTGAATTCCTGAGGAAAACTTTGTTTTTCTCGCATGTCTCCACGGTGAACGAAAAATCCAAAAATTGAGAAATTTCTCGATGCATTTAAGTAAGAAGGGTCCGTGTTTAACAGCAGCAAAACTATATCAAAACTACTGCTTACAAACTCACACACAGTTCTTGCCGTATAAGGGGCCGCATACATGCTGCCTTTTGCACTCATAATTAATTATTTTCAATGTAGACCAGCAACAAGCACGCTTTCCCAAGTGCCTGTTTTTTAGGGCGCAACGGCTGTGCCTTGAGATAAACCGAGTTCAACTTTAGGAAAGCAGCAGCGCGCACCACATATCGTGACGAGGAACAACCAATCACAGCCAGCAGGTATCTTTCCCTTCTTCCGTAAATATCAGTTTGCAGTAAATCTGGAAAAGTTGATCATGTTAGTGCAGGGCTACCCAGAGCTTTACACCTGCCCCACAGATGATAGGCCTACACACTTATAAACAGCTCCTGGAAGAAGATCAGCTCTGCACTCAGGATTTCAGGTACATAGGCTTTGATACGTTGCTTGTTAAGGCTGCTTAGCAACCTCAGACGCAACCTGTTGCCATGCTCGTGAAAGCTGGCACAGAAGTAGCATCCAGCGCTCGACCTTGCGTTCTCCAGGCGGTTAATGGTGCAGCATGTGTACGGCCCCTTAGTCTCATTTATCCAGTCAAAGGCTCAGTACTCTCCAAACACATGCATTTTCACAAAAACATTACGATTTAAAACACACTTGCATGAACAGTCTCATGCACGGACAAGTAGCATGGCTGGGCTGTTTATGCAAAAGTGTGTTTGGATGTGTTTTAGCCAAAATGCAACTTGTCTGGGATGTACTGGGCATACGACTGGATATATGAGACTTAGATTAAACTGCATGAGTCGTAGGAGAGTTTGTAAACACGTTTTGATAAAGTTTTGTTGTTGTTGAACGCAGACCCCTTTTACATCATTTATCCATGTGTTTGCCGTTTTTGGATTCATCGTTCAAGCTAGAAAAACGGTTTTCTTCAGGACTTCAGGGTAAAATGAGGTCAGTAATTGATTTATAAATCATCATTCTGGGGGTGACGTATTCCTTTAAGCTTGCGATAATGACGGTAAATGTGACAAATTGTTAGGATGAGGAAACCAGAACTGTATCATCTCTCTACCCACAGAGACTTGGCTGTATTGTCTCTGAGTAAAGCCTAAGTAAAGAGCACTGACTGTGGGCTGAGGAACGACAGCTCAGGGTTATGAGCCGGAGCTCCCTCGGTGTCTGGCCTAGTTGAAGAGGCAGAGCCACTCTCGCCGGCTTCAACAGGAAGAAAAAAAACTTGTTAGCAATCACTCCAGCCACAGCAGCACGACGCTCTAATTGTGCCCGAGTGTTGACTCAACGAGTCGTTTATCTTAATTAGTTTGCAAGCACCCCCGTCTATTGAAGGAGCAAATCTCCATTCTACCTCGCAGCTCCGTGGCGCCTGACCTTGTCCTGTCGCCTGATAAGACACTTTGATGCAGAAAAGAGTTGTTTGGGGAAGCTGGTGCATTCATAGTGTGGATTAAGGAAGTGACATTGGTAGCGTTAATAGATGGTTTTCTAAGGAGCTCAGGCGCAGGGGCAGCCTGTGATGAGTGTGTGTGTGTGCGTGTGTGTGGACTCTAACACTGCAGCTCTCCATATCCTTCAGCATGGTAATCTCCCACAGGGCTTCTCCTCTCCTCTCCTCCTCCCTGCTCTGCTATTCACCGCTCATCATTAGGATGGACTCTGTGTCACTTCTCACTTCAGCGCTTCTCTCTTCACTTTCTTAAGGCAAAAGGGGGGGTTGGTGAACAAAGCCTTGCTTGGCCTCGTCTTCTTCTCTATTCCCTCTGCTTTCTTTTCATCTCTCCAGCCCTCCCTCCCTCTCTCCTTTTTCTACTTTCCTTCCTCTGTCAAATCACTTCGCTCCTCGCCCAGTTGGGCTGACTGTACCGTCCTGCAGGGCAGAGAAGGTTTTCCTATTTTTTTGTTTTCCTAGCTTTCCGTCCTGTGCCCAGGAGGCGTGGAAATAAAAGAGAAACTACACCAGCAACAATACAGTACATGTCGAACAATAGGAGTATCATGCAGCAACGAAAACAAAAGAGATGAGACAAAGCCGAGTATATTAACCTGAATGTAAATACTGTGGATCAAAAACCTGTTTAAGGATAGAAAAAATAATTGTGTGCCTTTATTATTGTCAGCAGACCCCATGAAAAACAACATTTCAGGCTGGGTATCGTTACGCGAAAACTTTTTAGGATTCAACCAAAATAATCCAGTGCTAAGCAGTGACTAAACTCCAGTGAAATGTTACCTGCATTTGATTTGTTTGAGCCAGAGGTCTGATATTGGATCGTCCGTCAGTTCATTGTCTGCCCAGTTAGCACAAGCTAACACAGCAGAGGCTAACATCCAACACCAAGCCAATGAACAGTCCCAACAAACTGACACAGACACCAAAATGGCTCAATCCTGTCATTAAACACATTCAACACTCTCTCATACCTAAACAAAACAGGTCTATTTCCACTGACTTCCAAAACAGCTAATATGACAAAACGACATACACTCCCGTCCTAACAGTCACAGTTTTTAACTCATTGTTAACATCAAGAAACAGTCTTAGTTACGCTCCAAAACTACCTGGTTAGGTTTAGGAAAAACCTCACAGTCTGGCATTAGATAAGTACTTTTTTCAGTAACACATTGTGACATATATCATGTGGCAGATGTCACATATGTCACTCATGTAGCATCCTACACATACTAGCATGCTGCTGACTTTGGGACACAAACACTGGTCTCCCGGTTGTAAGTCCTGTGTTTGTTTAACACGTCCATCAGCCCTCCCGTCCACCCTGTAGGGACCTCTTTGCTACTTGTACAACATTACGCAAACTTTGTGACTTTGTCATGCCTTCAGTGCTACTTTGCTTTCTCCTCTGCTCTTGTAATAATTACTACGGCCACTAGAAGGCACCACCTTAGAATGAACGCAAGTACAGGTCGTTAAAAGCTGCTTGCACAGTCAACTTAAGTGGTCATTTTTCCAGAGAGCAGGCTGATTAGCTATGTGATGCTAATAGTTAGCCCTGTCACTGTGTGTGTGCAGCTGGGTGGACTCTCACAACTGTCCCTGGTGCAGAGCTCACACTCCCGCAGCAGCAGCTACAACCCAACCACATTGTGGTGTGGTGAAGTTGAGCGCAGCATATTTTATGGAGTTGGCCAAAAGTAGGGCTATAGGCTCCAACACGCCACTTACGCTCGCACTCATAATTATTTAAAGGATACCCAGCCCTAACAACAAGCAGAGTCGTTTCCTAAAACAGCTGAGCACTGTTGTTTTTACAGATGTTACTCAAACAGGAGGAAACTGTGTATGTGTCAGGGACTATTTTTAGCGGAGGATTAATTCACATTTGGTGGTCTAGTGAGTATTTTAATATCGAGTTAAAACAAACTACAGTGTGTTTATGGTAATGAAGGAACATTTCACACAGTGCAGCAGCGTGGCTCACTGCTTTTATAGTTTTTGGACACACGTGGAGCTCTACGGCACAGAGGAAGAAGATATATCAGGCTCTGATACATAGAAAATATCACTGTTTGAATTTAGAATACCGTCTGATTTATCCTTTAATGATGTGTTTTCAGTGTGCGCACCCAATCAGCAAAGTTACTTTTCCATTTTATTGATTATCAGCTTTACTGCAAGTGTAAAAATCACAGAATTTTCCTAATTACTGCTTCATAAAAGGATGTTAAATATGAATGTTAACACTAGGAGACTTGTGCCATTGTGTTCTTCCCTTTACTGTTCTCTGTAGTGGGATTTTCTGTCTAGTTTTCAGTGTTGTTGTTCCACACACATTTGACACGTTAGCCAAAGGGTAACAAATTCCATTTTCTTTTCCATAATTTATTCCCTTCTCTGTGGCTTTGAGCAAAATCTGTACCATCCATTCAGTATGTGCCTAATTTTATATTAAGTTTATATTTTTCATATTTGTGATTATGCTCCATAAATATTCTGTAATATCCAGACCAAGTCTAAAGGGAACAGTTGTAATACTATTTTTGTTCAAATGTATTCTGTATCAGTACAGATTCCATGATGAGAAATATTTCATTAATCATTTTATTAATAAATTTATTTGCATCAGTAGCTGCTGCGTTCAGTCCTTCTCTGAGCTTGTTTACTGGCGTGAGGGTGATCAGATAAAAACTGTTGCAAGTCATTAGCCTGGATATCGTGCCAAGACTGATGTTGTGTTGACTCAAATGTTTCCCCAGGCCGGCCGTACTCTGTAATGTGTGACGTGGTGATGGCAGGGCAGAGCTCAACGTTAATCCACCCACTAACAGCTGTTTCAGCGGGTGACGTCGAAACGGCTAAAAACCCCTGCCGTCGGCATGACAACGCTGCTTCCTACTGCCACTGTGTCAGCCATCGCCAGCTTCCTCAGCAGGGGTTATAATCCACTAGTTGATGGATGATGACTGCTGCTGAGAGGGGGATGACTCTGTTTTACTTTCCCCCCAAAGGGCAGTGACTCAGTCAGACAACACTGACTGACCTGGTGGTTAAATAAATGGAACTTAATGGACGGGGAGAGATATGCAAAGAGTGAACTGACCCAAACTAATAGTCTGTGTGGGGGGCTTTCAGTGTATTTGGAGATGCAGCACTGATTCCTGGTACACACCGCCATGGAGATACTGCTGCAGTTTGGTTCATGGAATGACTGGAAAAAAACTGACATTGATTTTAAAAGATTATACACATAGTTGTGTTCAGGAGGAACGCAAAGATTCAGTATAAAAGAAGTCCGAGGAAGAGGAAGTAACGATACACAGCAATAAAATCCTTCTAAGACGAGCTGCTTGGTGTGCACATCTATTTGGTTTAACTCTAGGAGGGACGTCAACACACATTTATTGTCACAGTAAACAATAACCTACCGACTGCAAAGGACCAGCCTCCCACCAATATGAGTCATTTGTAAGCGAGCAGAGAAGTCAAAAAAAGATTATTTTGTTTTTCAAACTGCAGGAAATACAGATCACTGAAATTCATGACAAATGGCTGCCACCTCCAGTTTCTATTGTTCCAAGTGTGAAGAGTACAAATGCAAACAAAATCTACTGAACTCAAACGAAGGCTCTGAAAAGGGTGTCATGTGAAGTGATTTGTAGTTCTGGTCTCTATACGTAAAACTGACCTGGCGTAATTTGACCATTCTTATCCCACTACCATTGAAAACAGTGAATATGGATGTTCGTCCTTTAACCAGCCATCAGATCAACTGTCTACACGTATTAACACCTTCAATCAGACAGGATAAAGCAGAAAGAGAGGGTACGACATCCAGCAAACACCTGATTCAGATGTTATCAGTCCATTAAATGGTCATTATCAGTGGGTTTTCATCTCGTATAGCTGTGTGAAAACCTTTTAAAGTAGCCGATAGACTTTTTTCATGAGAATGCCTTTCTGTTTTTTTGTTGTTGTTGTTGTTTTTTCTTCAACGTCTCAGACCAGCCAAAAAACAGGTTAGTAAACAGTAGAAAGCAGCACGGAGGCTAGTGAAAATGTTACAGTTGTTACTTCTTTGTTATATCTCTGACTTATTCACTAAATTTTGAACGATATCTAAGCCCTGCTTGTACGGAGATGCAAGGTATTTTGTGGCGGCCCATCATTGCATCACGCTGGCAAAGGGACTAACATTAGCACATTCACCCAGGTGTTGTATTTCCATCACTGCCGACTGAAGCCGATCAGACCTGGAGCCGATATGTTAGCAGGTGTTAGTGGGTTTCTTGTCTAGAGGGAAAGGGTTTTGTGATAGTGGTTAGAAGTGGTGTTCCAATCCGATTAAAGCCTAGCTCACATTACACGATTTTCACCGCAATTCTGACGTCGCGGATGATCTTGAGAGCCACCTTGGGTCGGAGGTGAGTCGGCAGATAGTCTGACACGACGTGTCCTTGTGTGAACAAGCCTACGAGCAAGTCGCCCCCTCGTCTGTGACTGGGACTGGATATCTGGCATGCTAGGAAACTGGAGAAGTCTGACACGACTGACAAAGAGCATCAGCCAATGAGAGGTGGGATACGTCCCACGTCAGCACACAGGAGGACGGAAGAAATGTGAGGAGGTCCGCTTAATAGCCGCAACTTTGGGCTTGTTTCTAAAGTGGAGTTGCTTATTTGGGCTTGCTCTCTAAACGTCACCTTTCTCTATATATATATCCTTAGCTTCTTTTGGGCTTGTTTCCATAGCCCTGGTTGCTTGGTTCTCTCCCAAGATCTGGCAACACTGACAAGCCGGCCGGCAAGCAACAACAACAATGGCGGCATCCACAGGATCATGGGAAGCATGATGTGTTTGGACCCATGATAATAAAGAATATCCATGCCTTTACGATGTGTCATCTCCAAGTTTGGTCTGACGTCACTGCATTATCTGGGGCTCTGTTGGCAAGGGCTCGGTGGAGAAATCTTGTAGTGTACACACACAGGTCGTAACGCAGTTGGCGAGACTCCCGCTGACAGAAACACACGTCGCCAGGTATGAACACTCAAAAGATTACAATAGTCTCCGCGACACAAAATCAGGGTGAAAATCGTGTAATGTGAACTAGGCTGAAGCTGAAAGGCCATTATCAGCCCACTCAACTTTTTAGGTTTCACTTTCCTCATGTCTAGAAGGTCAGGTTAGGTTTAGAGAAACAAAAGTCATGGTTGAGGACGTTCTTGCTCTTTATGCTAAGTCATCTGACTTCCTTTGCTCTCATCAAAGGCTGATAATGGCTTTCTGAACCTAATAGCAGGTGTAGGAGGCCCCTTCTAATCCATATCTATGATGCTTATCACCACTGATAATGTGCATGTAATGGCCTGATAACAATAAAACCAGTAAATCTAATTAGATACATGGCAGTTATATAGTTTGTATCTTAAACACTCGGCCACTGGACGTTCCATGTTTACGATATATCCAAGTTCAGTTTGCTTTCCCCATGTAAACAAACATGGTGGGAGCAATCTGCGGTTCAGTGGCGTTGCTCAAGGAAACTTTGCGTGTAGAGGTGGGGATCAAACCACCAACCCTATGAGTAATGATCAACAGCCATCCCAGAGGTGATTGTCGCTCAAAATGTTTACAGTCGAATTCACTGCAAAGTAGGCTTGTGACTAGACGTTCGAGCCCCAGACTGGGGATGAATCTGGGTGGGGAAAGAGAAAGAGCAACACTTGCCTCCTCCCTCATTGCCACCAAGAAGGTGCGCTTGAGCAAGGTCCCAAAACCCCAAGTAAACCATCAAGCTCCAGTGGCCAACAGATCAGACTGTGGGCGCTTTTCATTATCCTAACTTTTGCTTCCACGACCCGGAAATCATTCCCCCTCCTCCATGATGCAGGATCTTCCAATCCCTTACATACACAACAAGGAGACAAGGAAACAAGGAGGCTTCTGGAGGAGCTTAGAGCAAGGAAACAGATGTATCCTATGCAGAAGTCTTTAATGAAGTGGCATGGTGTAAAAATGCCGCACTTGCACATGTGGCACACTAACTGACGCGACGGAACCAAAGATTTCTCATTTGGCGAGTCGGCATTTCCGTTATCGCGTCTCTTCCTGGCTAAGACACAAAGAAGTGATGTGAGTGAGAGAAGCAAGGACGCACATTAGCATTATGAAGAGCACCCTGTGTGTGTTACTAATAATGTTAAATGTCACATCTTGTGTTTGCAAAGGTCAGATTTAGACTAAACGAGTGCTCATCAGTCCACAGCTGGAGGCACAAAAAGACAAGCGGCCACCTTGAACGATCAGTGCATTTTATTTTTCCATCACAGTACAAAAATAAATTAAAGTAAGCAGAAACTAACTGAAAATAAGTTTCAATTACAGTAACAGCTTTTTTGTCTTTTTCAAAACAAAAAGAACATTTTTATCGAACAGCATCGACACCCCTCCCTCACCCCGCCGAGGGAAAACCAAGTCCTGGTACCAGTGTGGTTGGTGTATGCTCCATGTCTATAAGAAAACATGTCACACATTCTTCTGTACAAATAAAACGCTGTCATTCACACACACTCACGCACACATTCGCGCACACATGCAGCCATCGAATGCCTCCCTTTTTGAAGTTCTTAACCACTGTTTCGTTTTTTTTTATCTACAAAGTACGCAACAAGATACAGAAAAGAATTTGACAGAAATCTTTAACTATCACTTGAGTCTTTTTTCATATTGTATAAGCTTTTGAAAGTATTTTCTCAAACAACTACTCAATGATGCAAAGTGGAAAAGAAATGGCACATTTTAAGTGAGTCGGGGGGGAAAGTGGACAGAGAGAAAAAGATTCGGGGTCTCTTCATGAGGCCCTTTTAACCTCAATGCCCTGCTTTATTTCCTGCCAGAGCAGAAATCCATCCAAAGTGCGTGTCCCCCTATTGTGCCAGTACAAACACACCAAATGAACTTTCTCAACTCCACATGGCAGCCACAATCCCACAGCGGAGGAGGCCGCAGGTTGCAAGCTGCTCATTTATCTCAGATTCACGCTAACACAGCAGCAGAGAAGTTTTCCATTCTCAGCTTTGACAGAAGCCTTTTGTTGGCACCACCAGCCCGTTAGACAGATTTTCAGAACACTGCTAAAGAAAGAGAGTGTAAGGTATTTTCTACATTGAGATGAGATGTGAAACCAGTAAAATTCTCATACATTTCTGGATGGAAATACTGTAGCTTCTCCAGTGACTGCACACATTGCGGAGCTAGAAACTATTCTCCTCTGTAACAAAAAAAGACACAACTGTTCTGCATGCTTTCTGTTTTGGTTGTCGTGTCGTCGCACACTGCAGCGCGGCGTTTTAGTCTATGATTGAAAATGTGATTATTCCTGTGGAGGTCGCCTCGTCTCCTGCAGCCCCTCGATGAATGTGATGTCACCTCACATTTGATTTACACAGAGGTGATGCTGATGGATTATCCTGAAGGTAAAGCTGTGCTTTTTTCCTGCAGCGATGCTGAACCAGTGTCATTGAAATAATCTATTACCCTGGAAAAGTGTGTGTGTGCTTTCTCAGTCTGATATGTGGGGCAGCAGGTTGGGTTCGTGCAGGCCGGCGTTACCGGACAAAAAGATGTTTTTCAAGGGCATTTTCTTAAAGGTCCAGTTGTAGGATTTAGGGGCATCCATTGGCAGATAGGTATATAATATTCATAATGTTTTCATTAGTTTAAAGTCACCTGAAAATAAGAATTATTGTGTTTATTATGGTTTATATCTACAAAAGGAGCAGGTTCCATAGATGTACAATAATACCTAGATACCAGATGCCAAGATGGCGCCTATTCAGCCTTATGGAATTGTTCACCGGGTGCACACGCCAAAAAAGTATCTAGCTTTCTGGTGTAATTCCGCAATATGCGTCCCACTGAAAATACACAGCACTGTTTTCCCTGCTGACTCCGCCCATGAGTTCCTGCTCGGCTCATAGACTTCACCTTGTGATGACGTCACAGATTTTTCTACTGTTTTTCTCGACTCCAGTAAAGTTTTGCAAACATAAAACCTCCATGGTCATTTGTGACCTTGTTTGCAGTTCGAGGCGTCCTAAACGTCTCTTTTATAATGGTGGTCGACGGAGAGAATACTTTTTGAGCTGCAGGGAATATTTTCACTGCAATACCGCAAGTGGCCACTAGGAAAAATTGGAAGCAAGGCTGAGCAGGCAAGTCCTCTTCCAAGGAGTCCGCCATGTTGTTCTACAGTAGCCCAGAATGGACAAACCAAGCACCAGCTCTAGCTAAGGCCATTTGCGTTTTCGCATCAGTTACCATAGCTCCCCACTAGATGCCACTAAATCCTACACACTGGACCTTTAAGTAAAAAGTCAGGGATGTCTTGTTCTGTCAAGGTGTCCTTGATGATGTCACTTTGGTGATGGTCAGATTTAACATTGGCTTTTTAATTAGGTACTTGTCAATAAATTCCTGCAACATTCATTTGCATAAACCAGATCAATCTTCATTCCCACCAAAGATAAGCACACCTGCTACACCAGCGAAGCCCCTCCTCGTGTCCTTCCCTTTTTACCCTCATCACCAACGATCTCTCATTTACATTAAATGTGCCTAAATAAATACGTAAATGGCAATAAATTAGGTGTCAGTAAGTAGTTAGTAGTAAATGAAAATCCATCCCACCATTCACCAAACAGCTGGACAAACAGTACAGTATTTCAGAGTGTTCTCAGACCTGTGGGATTTTCATTGAAGATATGGCACTGTTTTTTTTTTTGTTTGTTTTTTTTTTAACATTTTCTACGCTGAATCATAAGCACGAAATCAAACATCATTCCAAAAAATCGACAAAAAGTACAAAAAGAACTTTTCCCTGGTAAACAAATAGCCTATTTTAGCAAGCATAGCTAAATAAACTAGTGTCACTTTGTTCACAGCATTCTCTAATGCAGATGCAGTTGGTTTACAAATCAAGTAAAAAGAAGAAAAGTAATAGTTGTTCCTTCCCTCCCGGAAAAAAAATTGCATGGCACACGTGCAAAACATTACATTTCTAAGTAAAAAAAGAAAGAAATCAAAGAAAACTTGTTCCAGAAAAGCAATAAATAAGCCTCCATAGGTGTAAGCCTCTGGGGAGTAAAACATCCATTAACTTGTTTTATTTTTTTGTCTAGATGAAAATAAAGTAGGTCTTTCTGATCACACAGTCTGACCACTCATCATCAGCCACACGTCCTCTGGCTGTTGTCCTCCTGATCAAAAGTCCCACAATGTTTGCTTATTGTCCATCCGCTTTTCCCTTAAGTCCTGTTGCAGAGCCACAAACAGAAACCCACAAAAATATGGATCCGGCATTGATGGCCCCTGCTGTTCTTTCAGATATGCATCGCAGCAAAAAAATGTCCAGTGGTATCCGTATTAATGGAGGGGACGTGGTGATGGCATCCCAAAGAGCCAGGGTTTGCAGCTGGAGGTGCCTGTTCATCCGTGATGCATGAAGTCAGCCAGTCAGGCGATGGCCCTCACTCTCCTGCAGTAGGCAGTGCACATCACATCGTCAAACAGTCAGAAGGTCACTGGTTAGGCTGCCGCAGCCTCAGTCCTCTCCACATTCATTGCTGTAGATGTATGCTTCCTTTCCTAATGTGTCTGAACTTTTTTTTTTTTTTTTTGTAAGATTTTCAGTATTTCATATAGATATATATCTGTACGTTAGCAAAGGATTTACCCAAGTCTGGCATTTTTTTTTTTCCTTGTCAAAAAAAAGCTTTCATTCTCAGGCTGACAGAAAATCCATCCTTTGCTTGTTTGAAAATAGAATTTGGCCTTGATCATCACATCTCCTCAAGAGGCAAAAAGAGCGCTCTCGCTTTTTAAATCCCACTTTTAGGTGACCATTGCAACTGTTATCCCTCAAACACAATGCCAGCATTTTAAATCTGTGAAAACCACTCCTCCCCTCCCCTCCCCTCCCTCCAAGGTTGAAAATTCAAAGTCTTCAAAGTATAAACAAATGTCAGATACTTCCTAATCATCCTAGTCCCACCTCAGTTTGGACAATAATAAATAAATAGCATCACAAATAATATTTCAAACTCGTCAAAATGCCAGACTGGAGTATGCCCCACCTCCCCTGACCCCTCTGCTCCCCCCCAGCATCCCCTCACCGGTCCAGGCCAATAAGCAGGCGGCTCCTCTCCTCCTCCTTCTGGCTCTCGTTCTTCAGGTCTGCGAACACCTGAGTGAAGTAGTGCGGGTCGGAGTTGATCTGGAGCATCTTGGCGCTCATCAGGTTGATGATGGACAGGCAGCGGTCCCAGAAGGTCTCCTTGGAGCTCTCCACTAAGAAGGGCTTGAGAGGGTAGGAGATCTCGTTGCCCATGTAGGAGTAAGACAGGTAGAGGCAGGTGAGCAGCACGGCCTGCAGCTCGTGCTCCGTGGCCACCTCGGAGGAGACCACGTCGCGGCACAGCATGTAGACAAAGACCACGTTTGCAGGGGTGATGAAGCCCTGGTCCTGCCAGCCCTGCAGCAACAGGGAGCGGTCTACGCTGCGCAGCCACAGCACTGGGTCAGTGGGTGACAGGTGTTTCAGCCGGTAGCAACGCCGGCACAGAAACTCCCCGAGGCAGCGCAGCAGCTCACTGGTAGAGGCCTGGACGATCACTCTCTTAGGGGTCCCTGGGGCCACACTGGAGTTGGTCAGAGGGGCCTTCTTGACGGACGATGCTGTGTTGTTGGAGCTCTTGGTGAGAGCCGGAGTGCTCTGATCCTGGGTGAAGGTGGACAGGTTGGCGCATGACTGCGACTTCTTCAGGTTCTCATTGTTCAGGTGGGTGACATTGTTCTGGTAGGTGCCGTTGGGCTGCACCTTCTTGGAGCCTTTCTTCTTAGCTGACACCGCTACAATCCGCTTCCACGGGAGCACGTTGATGAGCGAGTGGCGCTTCAGGTTCTTGTCTTTGGCGTTCTTGCTGTTCTGGACAGCTGTATAGTGGCCCACGGTGGCCGGCCCATCCTCAAAGAGAGCCGCCTTTCGGTAGCTGGGTGACAAAGACAGCACGGTTCCCATGGTGACTGGGGGTAGGCGTCCAGGGGCTTTAGCCGCACTGGGTCAGAAGAGGGTCTGCCAGGGGAGATCCTGAGGGGCTCAAAGCCTCTGTGCGTCTGCTGGGAGTCCCTGGCTACAGGCTGCCGCTGGGCATCTAAAGCCTGGGAGAGAATTGTCCTGTGGGCAGCTCTCAGAGGGGATAACGATCACCTCGACTAGATCTCAGCTCTCTGTCTCCTGATGGCCACTGCTGCAAGCAGAAAAGATCAATAATCAGAAAAATAATTGGTGGAGCATTAACTACCTTTACATTATCCATAATATTACAAATAGCAACCCGAATTCGTTCACTCTCATCTTACATCAGATAACATCACAGTAATGTTCTCATGAATGTGTGCATGCTTTATCTGACTGCACCTCAGCCTTATTAGCAGTATTGATCTGACTCAGTAAGTAGTGGAAAGGATCAGCCTATAGATAATTAATTCAAATAGTACAGATCTCTCCTCTCTGCTTCCTACATTATAAACCTTTTACTGTGAAACTGTAAGATAATAATCATCTGCAGCACATTACAGAGTGCAGCAACATAATAATATGAGTGATTGTGCATGAATTCTTCCCCACATCTGATTAAAATGGATCATATATGGTACATTCATAAGCATTTTCTTATGAGAGGTCCATATTTCATTGGCAATGGCCGACGAGTCAGAGTGAACCACTCGCCACCCCTCTCACTAAAATGGAAGACAGAAACGTAAACACCTTAATAACAGGTGAAGGTCGCGTTTGATGCGTGATTCGGCACATTAACGCGCACATCCAAGGTTTTACCTCCATTTGCCTCCATTAAAACTACACAAACAAAGAGATGTGTGATTCTTTCTTTCTTTGCACGACATGTTTTCATCCCCGCTGCAGTGCCTACAGTGTGCACACACACATACCAAAGACTCTCTTGCGCAGCATCCAGAGCTGCTTCATTCCATCACCCTGTTATCAATCAAGTGTGGAGAAATTCCAAAACATGAGCTTTTATTGTGGCCTCACTGGGGTGGGATTTCAGCGTGTTATTGGGGCTTCTTGCTGTGTGATAAGGAGTTGTGTACATCGGGTGCTCTCCGTGGTGCTGAAGCTGAGCGTCTGCGTCGAAATGAAAACGCGGGCCATCATAGGCGGTGGCTTAGAAATGAAGAAAACACTCATGTTTTGCTTCTATTTGTTAATATATCTTAATGTGTCGGTGCATTTACCTGCCTATAACTCCACATCCCTATTTATTGTAATGTATGGTCATGTTGTTTCATGAAATAAAGCTGCGCATCATGTGTTTTATTGTATGCACAAATCTGTACAGACTATACTGCTGCGCTTTTAGCACCAATATGATCCAAAACGAAAGAGACTCACCAGATGAGGCTATAACTGCGCTGTAAGGATGATGCTCCGCGTCTTCAATGTGTTTTTTTTTCCTCACAAGACGCGATGAAAACACAAAACCATCTCCGAGAATATAAATGCGACAAAGACAAAAATAATCCGATCCGAGGCAGGAGAGCGAGCCGTGGATGAACACGCCTGGTGTCGGCGGTGCGCAGACGATGGTGGGCAGTTGTGGAATGGATGCTTGGATGAAGATGTGCTCCTGGTCCTCCTGGCCGTGAGATGCGGATGCTGCGAGGGCTGATGTTGTGTTGTGTCAGTTGACTGTGTGAGGATGGTTGACGCAAAGGCGGTGGTGGGGCGCCGCTCTGCGCTCTGTGCGCGCTGCTGTCTCTGCTGGGAAACAACTCCGCCTATAGCCACACACAGCAGGCGCTCGTGCAAACTGAACCGGTGAACCCCAAAGATGTTTGTCTTCATAACACCAATATAATCCAATCAACGCCTTTTATATAAAAGCACTTACGCATGAAATGAGTTGATTGGTGAGTTCTAGTTCTGCAAGTTCTCACTGAATATCAGATCTTTGTATTACATTGTCCTACTTTAATCTCCGTATTGGCTTTCACAGTGATCTCATGCACTCTATATGTTCCTATACAGTCCTCTAGTGGGGGCTTGCCTGTAGCTGTGGTACTCCATTATGAGATATGGTCAGACCAATGCATCATTTTGCCATTTGAGCAGATATTGCTGCTTTATTCGGTGTTGAGTGTCATTTATTAATATGATGGAGATCCCCCTTAAAGACCACACACATGAAGATATAAATACATGAAAATATATCAGTTTTTTAAATTATATTTTCCATTTATTGTTCAAGTATTATTTTGTTTCGTTAATGTTTTAATTCAAAGACTTGGCTAGATTTCGACCATGGGTTCATGCTGTTAGGATAGATTAACTCAGCTCAACTCAACTTTATATATATGGCACCTTTCATCCAAACATGCAACCCAAAGTGCTTCACATAGACAAAAAATAAAGAATAAAATAAACTACAATAAAAGCATTTTGCAAGACTAGAAAATTTCAACAACAAAGCTATAAAGTGGCTGAAAAAAGCAATAAATAAAAGTTTATGGAATAAAATCAAATGAAATGAAATAAAATAAAATAAAATTAAATTAAATTAAATTAATTAATAAAAATTGAAAGACAGGCTAAAAGGATTTATTTATATTAGACTGTGGTTTCCTGAGAGAATTACTGTGTATTGCTGAAATACACTGCTGTTTTATATGCTTGAGTTCGTAAATTAACACAGAATAAACTGAATTTTGTCCCATTCTCATGAAAACTATTAAATTTTGGCACAAAATATTGGTATTGGCCTGGCATGTGCGCATCGTGATTTTTAACCTACTTTAAAACAGAAGACCAAATGATTCATATGAGCCTAAAAAAAATTAAATTGTGTTGCTGGTCTAACGTTTTTGGCCACATTTATTTTATATTTTTATTTTTATTTTATTTTTATTTTATCTTGAGAGCTGAGAAGGATTATCAGGACTACAGTACATACCAGTTAATGATTTGTTTTTTAAGAATATTAAAAGCAAATTTCTTGGTAGGCTATATTATCTATATTTCCCAGGTCAAAATTATGTTTTAATAGGCTACGTTCTCTTCCATGAGTAAAACTGGATTAAATATCTCCCACTAGGATAAATCTATATTCTCCTTCATCCCATAAAGACAGAAGCCTGATTAACAGCAGAGCTGTATCAGTTACAAGGTAAACACATCTATAAATCAAATGCGCAGATAAGAGGCCCTCTGCTACATGTTTACGACCCATTTTTCCATATAACTACATTTCCCACATATGCCTCTAAATCCCGACATGCAAGCCACGGCATGACGTCACCTACGCAAAGTAACGTAGTCCGCGCACGTAATTTTCATTCAAGCAGTATTTGAATAAGGAAGATGGCGGCTGCAGCAGTGGTTGAATTTCAGAGAGCCCAGTCTCTCATTAGCACGGACCGCAACGCCTCTATCGACATCCTCCATTCAATAGGTAGGTGTTCGGCAGAGGTTTGGAGACGGACACTTCTCCTTCGGCCACATTAATTTGCCATTTCTCGGTCAATGTTAGCAGGCGACGCTAGCGTGCTAGCTAGCGGCGTTCAATAGCAGGAGCCGGTGGTGTGCCGTGCTGACTCACTGCTGAACGGTGTGTAACGGCAACTGCTAGTGGATGTTAGCGAGTTAGCAGCTATGCTAACTGTAGGCCTGGGCGTGAAATATGTCAGTAGTTATCAGTAATGTTGTGTTTTGGCTCTGTAGTTGTGTCATGTGTTGCTGGGTCATTGTCCACAGTTTGTAAGCTAGCTACCGTTAGCTCTACCAAGACTGTCATGTTAGCATGATTGCTGTTGGGGCTAACGTCTTTAGCTTGTTGTCAAACGCCTTTAACCAAAATCATGAACACAGTGAAAGGTATTTCTTCGCCACAGTGAAATTAACCACTACATTATTTTGTAATTAATAGGACACGTATTACTAACTGGCCATGGTTCGCGTGCGTGTTTATTTTTTGCGGAAACTAGAGCGTATTAAAATAGCATTACGATGTACTGTAAACAGGTCTTACATTTCCATCACTGTCCTTAAATTGCCTTGTCACTACAGCCCACTAGCTGACAAGCTCTCCGGCTTCAGATAGAAATGTCGTTACAAGACATTAATTAAGTTCCTACTAGTGAGGTAAATAAGGTAAATTGATTTATTAACATTTTAACAGAAAAAGTGCTTTAATTCTGACAGCTACTTATCAAGCAAAAGGGCAAACTTTCCTTGACTCCACCTTAAATGTGAGGATTTCCTGCTTCTCTGTGCCTCGATATAATTACGAGTACAGTATTTTTGGGGTTGTGACTGTTGCTCAGACATAGGAAGCTATTTTAAGAAAAAAAAAATTGGGCTCAGGAGCATTGTGATCTCCATTTTTTACTGTTTTTCTTACAGACCAGTGGTGTAGCAGAAGGTATACCCACTGCTTTTTCTAGCCATTTACAGGATTTCCACCCATCAACCAAAAAAGCCTTTGGAATATATATATATATATATATATATGTAGGACAGCATACACACTTCCCAGTGGGTAACCTACCTGTCTACATAGGGGTACACCCACCTGATCAACTACCACTACACCACTGTTACAGATTTAAAAAATATGTAGATAAAACTAATTTTTAGTTGCATGTATAGTTGTAAGATTTGTGTCTACTCTGTACCAAATATTGAGTAATACTGAGAGGATGTAAATAAAACAGATCATGTGACATCAAACACCATAAAACAAGATGACGTCAGATGGTGGTTTCCAAAGCTTAAAAAGTCCAGGACTCACACTAATTAAATGAGTGTCTCACTTTGGCACACACACTGTTTTAAAATTTACAAGTTGCATCAAGTGAATAATAAAACAAGTAAAGTGCTTTACAATGTCAACTTGCTGCTTTTCTTTAACAGTGAGGAGAGATGTCCAAGAGAACGATGAGGAAGCTGTCAGGGTTAAAGAACAGAGCATCCTGGAGCTGGGGACACTCCTGGCCAAGACAGGACAGGCTGCTGGTAATGGTCAAACTTTAATTCTGTGTCTTACTTTCCAGCTAAGCCAACAGAAAACCTAATGAAATTAATCAAGGTTATGTTTCCAATTTTTATAATATTTGTTTTTTCTTTTTGTGGCTGTCTCCAGAACTAGGGGGTCTGCTGAAGTTTGTGAGGCCTTTTCTGATTTCCATCAGCAAGGCCAAGGCGGCCCGGCTGGTCCGCTCTCTGCTGGACCTCTTTCTTGACATGGAGGCAGCAACGGGGCAGGAGGTTGAGCTGTGTCTTGAATGCATTGAGTGGGCCAAGGCCGAGAAGAGGACCTTCCTACGACAGGCTCTGGAGGTAAGGAGGTCTAGAGTAAACTTGTGGGTGCTATCAAAAGGCATACATGTAACTTAATCCATTTTACCAAAAGTCATTGAAATATCAGCGTGCCTCGCTGCTAGAATCTGACAAGAGGGCAAAATTTTCCATCTGGCCACCGTCACCCCTTCAGCCGGAAATGGCTCATGTATAATGTGGAGGATAACTGCAGTATACAGTTGGATATCATGAAATATAACACCTCAAATGGAACACAAACCGTTGTAATATCTTTTGGAGAACCTCACTGGAGAACTGCAAATAAGGAGTTTGATGCTGAGTTTAACGACACTGTGTAGGCAAAGGATATCAAGCTATCAGAGGTTTTTGCATCAACTTATAGTGTACCAGTTATGCTGTTTGAGGTTTAGTATTTGCATTATGTTTGACACCTTGACTGCTGATGAGGTAGAAGCATAGGATGTATTCGTCATCCCACCCAACTCTAGTTAGCACCAACATACAACACTTTGGTTAATAATAGTGAAAACAAAAGAGATATCCCTAACATTAATAGCAGCTGTGGGAGGGATCAAATTTAACATGTCCTGACTCATGGCGTGGGAGACGCTGTGATTTCAAACAGATTATGGTGAAGCGTTTGTTTGTTTTTAGGTATGCAACACAGTCACTGTGGCATTACCTTGAGTTTTAACCAAATGAAGACAGGAAACTTGATAAATGTGATGACACAAAGTTGTAAACTTTGCCTAAAGAAAGTGCCAACGAGAGACACTAAAACAGCCACTACACACTGCCATCCATGATGACATCATCCTGCTGTGGCAGCCAAAATGGGCTTCGTAGACAGATCACTGCCAGCAGGTTCACACTCACAGCCAGGAATATATAGAGCTTTTTGGCTGAATTACAAAGTACAGGATCAACAAGATTTTGTGTTAGTACTCTGGAGAGGAAAACTATGTAATGAAACTGTGGCATGTGCGAATGAGTGAAAGCTGAGAAAAGGGACGCTCCTCAGACAGGCAGTGAATCGTCCTTAGGACACACATTATGGGTAAAGTGATAGGAGTAAAAAGATGAACCTTTGTTAATAGCATTGTGTGTGTACCATGAACTCAGGCTAAGACAGAAGTCTTCATGTTTTGAGAAACAGGCGCTGATACAAATACATTGCTCATAGCTATCTGTAGACAACATGACATCATGCTGAGATATGTAAGGAATTTTTTAATCGATCCAGAGCACTCAGGTCTCTAGAAAGACAAGCCAAATTTTTATTTTTTTCCACCATTTAACAAACATGTTTGTCTTCCAGTAGTAGCCTCAACAGCGATAATGTAATGCAACTTCAGACTGCTGCATTTGGAGTAGAATTATTATCACTTAGATGTGTTGGTGTGAAGTTCCACCTTTGAGAACAGTTGGTTTACCTCCTCTCTGTGGCTTTTCCTGTAAGAAGTAATTCTAAGAAATGTAGGAACAGTCTGTAATTTAGCACGTTCTTCCAAAAAGGGTGTGAGTGGCATTTCAACATCTT